GAGATATGGACTGATTAATAGTTAAGGGTTACTCAAAATTACGTAAATGAAACAAAATGCAACTCTAGGTATGTTTGTGATGAGGTAACTGCATTATAACATGTCTTGAAGCTCACAAGAGTCAGTTTTTCATAATATATATCAGTGGTTCGCAACCCCCCAGGCTGTGGTTTGTTTTGTACCGGGCCGTGAAAGCGCAAATCCCCCGCCTACGATATGTATCTCTAAACCAGTACTAAAACCAGGATTAAACCAGGTTTAAACTAGGTTTAAACCAGAACTAAACTAGGTCTAAACTAGGTGTAAAAGCAGGAATAAAACCCATGACTTAACCCACAACTTAACCCACAACTTAACCAGGACTAAACCAGGACTAAAACAGGGCTAAACCAGGTCTAAACCAGGTCTAAACCAGGATTTAACCAGGATTTAACCAGGTCTAAACCAGGACTAAAACCAGGATTAAACCTACAACTAAATCCACGACTACACCAGGATTTAACCAGGTTTAAACCAGGACTAAACCAGGACCAAACCATGCCGCGCAGCCGCAGCCCTAAGTCTGCAAAATATTGTTGGACATAAAACTGGTCTGTGGCACTAAAAAGCTGAGAACCATTGATATAAATAATACATTTTATTTATATTTATTTATATAGTGCTTTTCTCAACTCTCAAAGACGCTGTACAAACAACACAAATAGAACAATATAGGACCTTTAATTTATTGTTGCATTAGTGAAAGCCAAATAAAACGTGTTGATTTGATGTACTGATTGGTTTGAGCCCTGTGCTCATGGTGACTCATAGTTTTAGTCTGAACAGCTCTGTCTCTGTAACTCAAAGGCAAAGTCGTATTGTGCACTGTAAAATAATAAATAAATAAATGGATGAAAGGAGCCGCCCACACAGCCTCCTGAAGTGACAAACACGTGTTCAAGGTCAACTTAATTGTCCTTCTGTGACACCGCTAATGCATTTTGATTTCTTTCACGATTAGACAACCTTTGTACCATTATGAATTCAGACTTCAGAGAGAAATGGTGTAATAAAGAATGTACATTTTACAGGCACGTTTTAGCACATTTCTGTAAACTGCAAAATTATCTTTTGTTTATCTCTGGTGAAAAGTTCTTCCATTAGTGAGAAAATCTGTATAATTTTTTTTGTACTACAGTATTTTAGAGAAATTGGAAAAGAATGCTAACAAGTCAGACTGATGTGAAGGAGATCGAGAAAAGGGGTAACGTCATGACAAATATTTGAATCTGATTGGTCATAGTGCAGAGGTGAGGACTTGCGAGTCGTGACTTGGACTTGAGTCAGACTTGAGTCGCAATTTTTTGGACTTGAGACTTGACTTGATAAAAATGGACTAAGACTTGGGACTCGACTAGGACTTTAAGGTCAGTGACTTGGTGCTTGACTTGGACTTGACGCCTGTGACTTGAGAAGACTTGAAGCACATTTAAATCTGAATTCTTTCTATTCTGACCATAATGATGCACACTAAGATAACGTCAAGACTTTTAAAAAGCAAAAATTAACATTTCTGCAACTCTATAAATACTCATATAAAAATATACTATGATTTTTTTAAGTACAATTTATCTTAAAATTCATATAAATTGCAAAAAACAAACCTATATTTGATGCTTTGGTTTAAAGAGTTGAAATTAGACGACTTGGACTTTTGCTCCAGTGACTTGAGACTCAACTTGGACTTGCCTGTGTTCGACTTGGGACATGACTCGGACTTGAGGTTAAAAGCTTCAGACTTACTTGAGACTTGCAAAACAACAATTTGGTCCTACTTCTATCAAAGTGTCACAACAGCGGAAGAAGTGGACAAATCAAACTTTAGTTGAATCCAGTTGAAAGAAAACTACAGATGTCTTCCCTGTTCACAAATGCACAAAGCGCTTACCTTCTGCAAATTTTTCATGCACAAAATAGTCTACTTTGATGCTAAAATGGGCTGAAGTGCATCTGTCGGCATCGCCACGTTTGTTCTGGTTCATTTGGGCCTTTGGCTTCTGCACAAACCTCAGTACTGCTCTTTAACCTATTAGCCGTACAATGGATGTGCAAGACTGGACAAAGGCTGCATTCTTTCAAACAGAAAACACATCCACCTTGTTCCTTGTTCCACCTTGTGATGTCATGTGGTAGAACAGGAAGTGCTTCACTGTGTATTTACATTCCATACAGCTTCACTGGAATCATTTGGATAATTTCAGCCCTGGAATTGTCAGTCTCTACTGAACTAAAGGTAAAAGGTAGCTTGAAAACTACTGCTTCATGACATCACAAGGTGGAATAGAGCATTTTGGGATTTGGAAATGTAGACAGGTTTTCTCAAACACGTGTAAATAGGGATGCAACAATAATCGAAATATCACGATATCGTATCGTCAAAGTTCTCACAATAACATCATAGACCATCAGAATATATCGAATTATACGTTTTTTTTCTTGCTTAAATTAAGAGTTATGGTGCAGCAATAGCTAAAAACAAGACAGGGAACTACATAGACCATGATCCTTTGCTCCATTTCAGTGCAGACTGCAAGAAGAAATAACAGTTCTAAGCACTTTTAAGTCGTAGTTCTTTAGATTAAGTCTTGTCAAGGCATTTTAAGAGGAAAAAGTAGCATATTAACAGTTTTGCTTTCCTCCACAAAATATCACAATAAATATTGTACTGCAAGGTTCATACCAAGACTTGAATATTGTTACACCCCTAGTAAATAAAACTATACACAAGTTCAGGTATGTTTTTTGAGGAGGTAACAACATTCTAGTATGACTTAAAACTCACAAGAGTAAATTTTGAGTTTTTATCATATTTTAATCTCAACAAAATCTAATTCTAAATTAATCATCAACGGTCATCTTGAGTCTTGAGGTCGACGGCCAATCCTCTGTCAGTAAAAGCATGTGCCCTGGAGCAGACTCAGTAAAACTCCCATTATTAATATTGTAAAACTTTGTGTTTGTTTCTAATAATAAAATCAAATTATAAAAATGGTATTGATCAATGTAAGAGTTATATTTCATTCACCTTGGCCTTTGCCTGCTGAAACTTATTGAACCCAAATGTCTAGTACTAATATAGTCATTATCTTTATGTACTTAACCAGTGACCGGCTCAACTTTCCATACCCCGTGTTGTGATAAGGCGTGTGTTCAGTACAACACAAGCTTCATATCATTACAGAAACGCCATTGTAATTTTTTTATGTTTTTGTTCCCTGTGGTTATGGGCCTAATAAGTGACTCATTATTCCTCTGCATTCTCATTATGAACTATTGACTTGGATTAGTGGAGATTATCTCACTGATAGCGTTATTGTGTTATAGCTTGTTCTTGGCCTGGTTTTGGCGACACACATTTTGTAAGCAACTGTTTACAACACAACTTTGTACGAGCTTTGTCCTTGTTTCTCGTAGATAATTGGCTCTTTATCTTTGAAGTCACAGCGAACTTGATGGAGTTGTCAGAGTGTCAGTGGTTTTAGGCTTTTTATCCCAGTTTGTCTAATCTATTAAAGACTGCGTGTTTGGGTTTATCGCCATATTAGAAAGCGGCATCCTAAATATGCCATGGTCAAACGGAGGACCTTATGCAGTATCACGATCAGTGGTGGAAGAAGTACTCAGTTTTGCTTGTTATTTAAGTAGAAGTACAGATACCAGAGCAAAGAAATACCCGAGTAAAAGTATCACATGAAAAAATATGAATGCATCAAAGTATTTTGCACTGATTTTGAGATCTAATAAAGCTTCAACTGTAGTGACTTTGATACAGATTTGTGCTGAGTTTTGTTATCTGATGTTAACATCAGCCGGTTTCACTTCATAGAAACTGTCTGACCTCGCAGCATTAGAATTCGTTTGCTCGATGGTAGGCAGGTAATCGCTGCTATTTGGTTGTGATGTATGTAATGCGCCACTAACGGGGCTAATTGGTATATTAAGCTTTTCCCAAATCCCATAGGAAGAAGGGCAATAACGTCTTTCCCCTTGATAAAATTCACCAAACATTCTCTTTGTTCCAGCTTTAAATCCTTGATCTCGGGAATCATTGCCAACACAGAATGTATGGCTCTTTGCTGTTTGGCTGTTGCCCGTACTCGCACTTCTGGGGTTTTTGCGACCCGTCTAGTGTATTCTGATTCCTGACATAGTCGCTGGAAAGAAATTAAATTGAGCGGAAGCACTAGGTGGTGCTAGCCTGACTACGAGCTGTTTTTCTTTGTATATTTTTTTAGCTCAGACTATGAATGTGTTAAATAATAAATTCCTCAATTTTCAGCAAGTCAACAGAATTCACTTTAAATTGGGCTTTAGTAAAGACAGATGCCTACAATTTTTACTTAAGTACTGTACAGTACTACTTTTACTTTGTTACATTCCATCACCGATCACCATTATCTGAAGATAAGCCATTAAAAAAAAAAAAACACACACACATTTAGAATTCATCTGGTTCAGTTAAAGGTGCACTGTGTAACTTTTTGGTTGGGTTTCCTTCACTTGCTTGTTTCTATGGATATGTCATTGCTCTGCCTGCAATGTTTCACAGTATAATTTATTTTTTTTTTTGTATTTAAACAGCTCTACCTTACATGTATTCAATTACAGGTGTTATTACTGCTCAAAAAAATGTAGAAAACCACACATTCTGACTGTGAGCGGGGTCGCCTCTCCACAGATCTGACCTGCTGCCATACTGTGAAACCTCCCAGACAAAGCAATAACATCTAAATGGAGAAAAGCAGTTGACGGACTCTCCACCATAAAAGTTACACAATGCACCCTTTATTCTCCCGCTAAGGATTGCATTGACCAATCTCGTAGCTTTAAAAGAAATTCTAGCACTTTCATTTTAATTCTCTATTCTTACTTTGTCTTGCACAACACTATGCTCCTTGTGGTATTAAATGAAGAAAAGCCTTTATTTAAGCATCTCTCTCCCTTCTCTTTCATGTTCACAGATCCAGTTTGCAGATCAGAAACAGGAGTTCAACAAAAGACCCTCCAAAATTGGACGCCGTTCACTGTCACGCTCCATCTCTCAGTCCTCCACAGACAGCTACAGCTCAGGTAAATACACACTACGCCCTGCACCATTCGTGGGTGTGCTTCCTGAGATAAGATAAGTAAACATGTTTCAATCTAACACAATAACTGATAACGCCTGAAACGTCACATATACTTGATTACAAAAACAAACACTTCTCAAGCCAGTGTATTTCATTGAGTCATTCAGAGCTACTCACTTTGACTGTTGACTGTTTGCCAAATTCTACAACTAAAAACTGTTAAATATTGCGTTATGTTTTTATCTGTGTTATAATGTCGTTTCCTTATCAAAAACATACAAACGCTGCATATTTAGGCTGAGTTCTTCGAAACAAAACAAAAAAAAATCACTGTTCCACCTTGTTATGTCATCTAAGTAAGTGCTCCATTGTGTTTTTAAACTCCATACACCTTCACTACAATCATTTGGATAATTTCTGCTAGAGCCCTGCACTCCCGCGGGCCTCCCGATTTTCTGTATGCCGCGCAGACTGTCCCACCCGTCCCATACACTGGGGACTGCTCAGGCTGTGCCACTAAACCAGGACTAAAAGCAGGACTAAAAGCAGGACTAAAAGCAGGACTAAAAGCAGGACTAAAAGCAGGACTAAAAGCAGGACTAAAAGCAGGACTAAAAACAGGACTAAAAACAGGACTTAAAACAGGACTTAAAACAGGATTTAGCCAGGACTTAACCATGCCGCCAGACCACCCACTGCGCCTCCTCACATATGCAGCCCAATTCCTTTCGCTTCTCCGTGATTGATAGAGCTTAAGAAAGCAAAGGTTACAATCCTGCGGGACTTGTGGGGGGGCGTGGGACAAAATATCGCAGATACAGGCTGGAGCGGGATTGAAAATTACGATTCTTTGCGGGAGCAGGTGGGAGTGGGACTGCACAGTGCGGGAGCGGGCAGGAGCGGGATTGAAAAATCTGTCCCGCGCAGACCTCTAATTTCTGCTCTGGAATATCCAATCTCTACTGAATTAAAGTTAAATAATAGCTATTAATTTGAAAACTACCACTTTATGACATCACAAGCTTGAAAAGAGGATTTTGAGCTTCAGAGATGTAAACAGATTAACAATAACGGTTTACTCAAACACGTCTGAATGGAAAAAAAACACAGCTCCAGATATGTTTTTGATGATACAACATTATAGCATGGCTTAAAGCTCACAAGAGTCAATTTTGCATAATACAGATAATTTAATGTAAATGAAATCCAAAAGTGCTCTCTTTGATTTGAATACTCACTAAAAAACCCTGAAGTTACCCATTTATTGGTGTTAGTGCACTCTGAGAATGAATCTTGTCAAAACTTGTGTCCTTAAAATGCATGATAAGCCTTTCCAGATTCAGTTGCATTTTGAAATTGGGTCATTTTTGATATTTCTACACAAATGCTTTGCTATAGGCTCACTTCTCTCTGGAGAAGCGACCCCGCTCACAGTTAGAATGCCTGTTTTTCTAGGTATTTTTGAGCTATAAAACCACCTGTAATTTAACAAATATGAAGTAGAGCTGTTTAATGTCATACTGCGGAATATTCCAGGCAGAGTAATGACATCCATAGAAAAAAAGCAGGTCACAGAGACCCAACCAAAAAGTTAAACAGTGTACCTTTGAGGAAAAAAATAAGAAACATATTTGTTTTTAAATCAAGAGAGAGCCGTAGAGCCACTTTTTCAGCTCTACATTCTTGGCACTTCATTGTTCTGAGGCAGATCACTAATACAGTAATAGGTCCAAATTATACCTGCTGAGATATCCCGTCTATCTCCAGTGTTGTCACAATAATAACATTTCAAAACTCAACTTTGATGCCAAGAAAAACTCTATTCATTGGTTTAAGGCATAAGGATTCCTTCCTGATTTGACAGATTTGGCTTGGCAGCAGTTCTCTGTTGTTATACAGAATACAAATCAACATAAAATATCCTTTGAGTCATAGACATATAATTAGTAGACACAGCGTTTAATGTTATTGCTATAGACCTGTCGAGATAATTACTAAGGATGGGCCAAGGTCTCGTGCTGCAAGATCTTGCACATGATGAAAAGGATCTCGTGAGATTTTTAGTTTATCATGTTTTTACGAGTGAGTTGGTGAGTTACATTTTTTTAAAAGCTGTAGTCCCAAAAACACTGCTGCGATGACTGCAAAAATATTAAGTAAATCAAAATGAAGAGGCCAAAATTTGGAACTGGAATTTATTTATTAAAAGGATGTCAAAATCTCGTCTTGTCTCGTTCTTGTAGATCTCGTGTCTCATCTCATATCATATGGAAATTGTATATCGTCCCACCCCTAATAATTACTATATCAACTTATCATTCAGTATATGAAAGATGGAACTATCATGATAATTATTAAAGTTGCTGACAGTTTAAAATGTTATGGATATAAATAATCATCATTTTAATCTTAAGTCCCATGTTTAAACTACTTTTACATAATTGTACTGAACAACTACAATCTAGCAGGGATCATAACTAGTGTATCATTTTTCTATACATTTTGGTGATACAATGGCAATTTTCTTTGTTGCAGATTATTCCGATCGTGTAAAAAAATGATTACCTTCTACCCTTTTTAGCATGATAAACTCGAACTGGAACCTAGTCAGAACAATTTATTTTAGGGCTCAGTATTTATCATGTGTATAAAGTGGGGAGATTTTGTTATTTTTGTTTTAATACTATAAAATTTGAGGTATACCCTCATGCCTCCTAATGATACTGTCTATTTAAAAGTAGGTTTACTTGGATTATTCTGTATCCTTTGTGTCAGTGCATGAAGTAGTATAAGTATTACTGATTATCACAATATTTCTTTGTAGCAATATATCATGCTTCAATATACTTTGTTATATTGGCAGACCTATATTTCTGTTGTACACTTAGCAATTTAATTAATCCAAGAAGATTTTACAACTCCAGAGCCAGTTTTTTTTGTTTGTTTGTTTGTTTGTTTTTTCCCTTATAGCTGTTACCATTAGCTTGCAAAAATCTTAAATTATTAATGATAGTACCATTGATCACATTTACATGAGACCAGAGCCTCTTTTAAAGTCATTGTTGTGTGTGTAAAGCTTTTGATGTCTTATTTTAGATTATAATCAGCGTGTAAAAGTCACATTTGAGCTTTGTTCCACCTGGTGATGTCATGTTGTAATACAGGATGTGCTCCACTGTGTTTTTAAATGCCATACAGCTCTGGAGTTGCCAATTTTACTGAACTAAAAGTAAAAGGTAGTTCTTCACTTGAAAACCACCACTTCATGACATCACAAGGTGGATCCAGAGCATTTTGAGCTTTGGGGATGTAGACAGACTAATAATACAGTATTAAACACAACTCTGGGTGTGTTTTTAAGGAAGTAGCAGTGTTATAACATGGCCTAAAACTCACAAGATTCCATTTTGTGTGATATACAAAAGCATTTACATTTCCATGAAGATAAGCAAGTGACTTACCCTCCACTACAAATGTTACACAGTGCACCTGTTAAAAAAACAAAACTTGTCAAATGCTAATCTAGTTTTAGTACACGTTGTAGTATTGATTCTAGGCTTGACAAAGAATTCCTTTAGCTAACTACTGCCCCACATTCTTGGTAATCCTCTCATAATGTAATGTTCTCATTGGTTTCACAGGTCCTCTCCTTGTCTCTTTGATTGATCACACTGTTTTTACCTAATTACTGGCCGTCCTTGTTTCTCTTTGCTCTCTCTCTCTCGCTCTCAGATAATGTGGTTCATGGGAAACTCTGCTCGGAGATATAAGATTAGCAGCTGGAGGTCTATTAGAAGCTCAGAGAGGGAAAGTGAGATTTACAAGGCCGCTGTGCATGTCTGAAATCTGAATCACCATAGCACCCAGCCAGTAATAAAGCTGATAAAATGGGACACAGCTTTCAGACTCAATTAGACAGTAAAAGCAGTGGTGTTTTTCACGGTTGGGCAAAAGTTATGGCGCTTCCTTATTGCAAATGAATAGCAGATGGATCACACAGGTTTAAATTTGCACTGTGTAACTTTTTGATATGGGGTCCATCACCTTCTTGTTTCTATGGATATGTCATTGCTCTGCCTGGAATGTCCCACAGTATGACTTTAAACAGCTCTACCTTTCATTTATTCAATTACAGGTGGTTTTATAGCTCATAAATACCTAGAAAAACAGGCATTCTGATCTGTAATTTGGTCTGGTTTGGTCTCCATGGAGCTGAAAAGTTACACGATGCACCTTTATCTACCAGATAAAAAACTAACTATTGTTTATTATTGACTTTCAGACCATTTTAAAGGGACAATTTGGAATTTCGAAAACAAGGCCTCATTTCCTAGTTAGCCAGAGTGTTGGAGACATGTGGAGACACTTTTTTAAATATTCCATCCAGTCCTTGTATTTGCAGAGGTCACTGGTGCTAGGCTAGTGCATGTCAATGGCCATAGTTATCCTGCCACTAAAAACAGTCTTACCCACTCCACAAAACACCCGAAGCAAATCTATTATTCCACCAGACTGTCAATGTAAATGTCTGTTGATAGAATAATGTTTGAAATGAAACTAACCTTGCATCGCATGAATCGTCGCATGTTGAGGGACTATTTTCTCAGCAGCGGCGGAATTTTACTTTGCCGGTAAAATAGGTGCTAGGTCAGTCCGCCGCTGCCAAGCTTTCTATCAGGAAGTCCAACTCGCTGCTGCTGCTCAGACATAAATTCTTCATATGCAAAATTGGTTTTACTTCTAAAATTATCCTATTGACACAGACATTTACATCGATTGTCTGGCGTAATAATAATAGATTTACTTTGGGTGTTTTGTGGAGTGGGTAAGACTGTTTTTAGTGGCAGGATAACTATGGCCATTGACATGCACTAGCCTAGCACCAGTGACCTCTGCAAATACAAGGACTGGATGGAATATTTTAAAAAGTGTCTCCACACGTCTCCAACACTCAGGACCTTATTTCCTAGTTAGCCAATGTCCAAAATTCCAGACTGTCCC